TCAAGAGCAAATTTGGAGAAATCAATTTGCGTTTTTTTGTTCTGGCAATCAGGACAATGTGACAATGATATATAATTTCTAAGAGAGTTCCCTAGAAGTGTCCCTCAGGCCAAGTATCAGGATCTTCTGGGGCAGATTTAGTGGGGGTTCCAGGGGTTTGGTCGCACACCCTAAATTTTAAAAAAATGAGACATAACATGCTTCATTCAACTTGGCCTCAGAATGCCAAAAATCCCATTTCCGAGGACCTCAGTTTCAAAAATTGTTCATGTAAGAATGTCCCTGGAACCCTCTACAGGGCACTACTTTCATCAGTTTTTATCTCAAACCCCTTTCTCTAAAATCCTGTATCCGCCCCAGTTCTTGTTATTTCTAGGCAGTGACTCTTAAATATTCTGTGACTGTTTGTTTCTACTGTGGGTTTTGACCCACCACTGGGAATGAACTCCAAAGCAATTATAAATTCAAAAATTTCAGCATAGTCAACAGACAGTAAAGTATTCCACCCAAGTTATGGCCGACTCTACCTTCATATCGGTGCAGGTGGCTGGTGTGCACTTGATCAAAACACCGAACGGTATTTTTGGATCATGTTAGCTGATGGATGTTCCTCTAAGTACATAATATCAGCTGTGGTCACACAGGGAGTATTGACCATGAAAAGCTGGGTTAAGTCATTTTACTTTTCTTATACCTTGGTTAGTTCCCTGGAATTGACCTTTTACCACAATAACAACAAGAGAAAGGTAACGCAAGTGGCTATTTATTCAATATTGAGCTCAAAATCGAATGCAGCAACATGTCAGATATTTTGGCCTTGAAACACCAAAGTTTCGAAATAATATTTGTTGATATAAATATTTCTTATAATTGTCCATCTCCAGAAAAACTATATCCCTTCAGTTAAGCAGGTGAAATGTTGATTGCACTAAGCAGTTAAATTTAAAGTGAAGGACTCCAAGAAAACCATGACGGCAATGGCAACGTCACTAAACAAAAAGTTTGATGAGCAAAACAATGGTGTGTACGCGCAATATAATTCTTTGTAAATTTCTTTGCGATCCTCTGCAAAACAGCAAGGTGAAATGACCAAATTCTGCGTTCTCAGGAGAATGTGAATGATGACGGCTAATTTTTCTAAGTTTCTATAATTTTCAAATTTAGTGCTCTGTCCCAGATTGAGTCTTGTGATAGTTTTGACAGCAAGAAACAAACAAAAAGTTTAGAGTATCGTGAGATTGGCAGCTAAAATACAATTCATTTTTAAATTGATGTTATCCTTGGCATCACCGTCTTGGTTACTTAAATACGCTCTCTATTTTCTTGTCACAGAAGTGGTTGACTTTACAGAGTTGTCAGAGAAGGAATTTACCAAGCGTTTTCTTCAGGCCAAAGGAAATAGTTTTATGACCTGGGAACCAGTGAAGTCAGCCTTCCACTGTAGATAGTGCTACCATACCTGAAATTGCCATCACACAATCTCTCATGTCCATAACAATTAAACCTCATTGGCTTTAAGGATGTTCACGCAAAAGTTTTCCAGTCGATAGATTTTTTTAAAATTTTTACTGCAGTCAGATAATGAGTTAGTTGTGTCAGAAATGCAAAAAAAAAAATTTGTTCACCAACTTCGTTTCAGAGATGAAGCGTGTTGAAAACTACCCTGATTTTGAAAAATTGGCGTAGGTAATTCAGCATGGTCTACATGGGTTTATAGGTAAAAATATCGAAGGCGAGTCAGCAGAGGCAAATGATCTTAGTCATATTTTGTAGAAGTGGGTCTGTTGCGTATATAATTCCAATATAAAACCTTGCAGACATGAAACAAACCACAGCTGAAACCATGAGGAATGTGGTACTTATGGAGTGCGTGTTAACACAGCAGGGTCCTACTGTTGTGTCTGCAAGCAGGGATTTGTTGCGAGAGGTACTGAGTGTGAAGGCAAGTCACAGATTAGTGAGTCAGCGGAATGTTGACCAAGAAGTCGTCTTCACGTAGAGGGGAACTTCCACATGAAAAAGTCAAGGATGCCCGCCGTATCGCTAGGGCTGTAAACTGCTAGTTTTCTTGGTCTCGCTTGGGGTTTTCAGGACGAAGCGCCACTATTTTAAGCTGTCAAAGTATCTTTTAAGGTTAACTCAAAGGAAAACTATAAAAAACGCTCACATTTCCGTTTTAGACTCGATTTCCGCCTGTCTCTCGGGTCCGGTCTACTAGCGCGGCCTCCTTTCCCGAACAGCGACTACTAATCAAGCCTATTCCGTTTTAAGTAGTATCTTTTAGGGGTTAAATAAAGCTCGAGCAACGCCTAGATTGACCTCCTTAAGGGGTTTAATTCAAGTTTTCCGAGGAGCATCCCCGACCTTTGTAGATGTGAGTCCCCTCCCCTGGGGGTCGTCTTATTTCATATTCCCAGTGAAGTGTGCCTTGGACAAATCACAGTAAGTTGACTCTATTGACTAATCACTGTGGATAAACTTAGTACTGGTATGCCAGCCAATACTATCACCGCTAAACTGACCAATCAGTTTAAACACCATCGACTGACAGACACTTGTCACTTGATCCTGAATAAGATTTCCGCTCAGGTTATCTAAAAATCAGCCAAAAATAAATCCTCTTTTCATAACTACCATCACTCAGATGATCACGCTTTATGAACTACTGATACTCCTGCGTTTCCATTAGTTACAGTCAACTCTCGCTTTGCGGACACCCCGCTATTACGGACAGAAGCTACATCCCCGGCCGAAGCTACAAAGAAATGTATGGAGACAACTCCCGCTGTTACTGAATTGCGGTCACTTCAGGTGGTCTCAAAACTCAAATTTTTCTTGTTCTTCTCCTAGATTCTTCTTTCCTTAAAACGGACAACTTGGTCGTATTGAATGACGTAATGTTTCGTCAGTCTTGAAATGTTTACTAGATTGTACACTATTTTGACCTTTTTTTCATGATTATGAACCGAAGTCAATGTATCGATGCTAAGTCAGCATTTTTAACTACTTCGCAGATGTAGATGAGTGTGCAACAGAGTATGCAGTTTGTCAAGATAACGCCTTGTGTGTCAATCTTCCTGTTTCTTACGCCTGTTGGTGTAAACCGGGATATTAAATCACTGATCTTTCATGCAAAGGTAAGGGATGAATCATTATTTTTTGGAGGTTGGGGTTGGGTAATTTTCTGGGGCATGATATTTTTTCCCACCTTTAGGTTGGGCAGGTTTTCTTTTGGTGGACAATATCGTGTGCAAGAATTTTCTACCATTAAAAATCAAAATAATGATAGTAGAAAGCACTTGCTCAATTTTTTCCCCTATGGCTCTCCTTGCACGATTTTTTTGTCAGAAGTTTTTACTGTGCAGGATGTTTTTT